GTTCAGTATGGTTAGTGTTTGGGTTACAAGGTCGAGTAATTATTTGATCAGTCGAGGGTACACGCAGTCCAGCCATCAGTATCTTCTGCAAAAGACCAAAGTGCTTCACTCGGCGTATTCATTTTTATTCCCTACAAAGCAGCCTTTTCATTAATACTAATGTTTGGTTTTGAAGCTACATTTTGTAAATTTGGTATTTGATTATTTGTATTCTCTGCGAATAAGAGTTCGCTATGTACAGCAAATTATGAAAACGATTTTCTTGACCAGTGAACGGCGCCGGCCTGGCCATGGCAACAATGGACATCATCAAGTTGCATGGCGGCTCGCCCGCCAACTTTCTGGATGTGGGTGGTGCGGCGACGGCATCGCAGGTGAACGAGGCCTTCCGTCTTATCACATCCGATCCGAAGGTCCATGCAATTCTCGTTAACATCTTTGGCGGTATCATGCGCTGCGATGTCATTGCGCAGGGCATCGTCGCTGCTGCCTCCGAACTCAACATTAAGGTGCCCGTGGTGGTGCGTCTGCAAGGTGAGTATTGTCAATGTTATTGGCAATGACTCTTATAATCGACCATTTAAAACAGGAGCCTTAATTGAAATAAATCGAAGAATTGGTAGAAGTGAGAGGTTTTGTTATTTTACTCTTTCGAAAATCAAGTTATTCTCTCCGATTCCTTTGGTTACACTCAATTTGGGCACGTATCCTAGCTACTCATAAGACAGGAACGGTGGTCTGAACGGTGAATCCCGTTAAAGTAATTTTTTTTCAAAGGGTTGCTTAAGTCTGAACGATGCGTCTCAGAGAAAAGTAACATCTGCGTCAAACCCGTAGCTGTTGCTACGATTTCACAAGCCTGCCTTATGCATTTACACTTGACGTCAACCTTGTTGCAACCTCAATGCTCAGCCTTTTGTAGGAACTTCTTGCGACCGACGTGTGGATTCCATCCTGTTGGTATGGTGCCAATCTTGTCGCTTTGTAGAACCTGGCATTGGGAGTTGTCGATGACATGCTGTTGGTGCCACTGGAGTAGCGCTTCAGGCCCTCCCTGAAGCGACTTGAAAGTACACTGGTTTGGCAATTGCTTCATACTTGCCGTTTGAGGGAATACTGACTTTGGGTGGTCATTGTGATTTGTCTCACTGTTCTGAATAGTCGATTGCTTGTTTTTTTTTAAAACTTTAGGTACTCGAGTTGATGATGCAAGGAGCATTATCGAAAGCAGTGGATTGAAAATT